CCTATAATGCGCTTGAAGGTTAAATTAATCTCTTAATTTAAATCTCCTTCCATTCAACATAAGCAACATTTTCTAATTTCCAAGAATTATTTAATTGAGAGTATCCTTTGTTCGATTTCAAAAACTATATAAGTAAGAGCGCCGATAAACGTGCACTAAGCTTAACATAATTTTGAAAGCATTAAGGTCCTGAAATCCGGTCACTTTACGTCAGCGTGTGCTCCAAACAATCATGATACATGAATGTTGTATGCAGCATGTGTTATTCCATGACCATTTCAGAAAAACCCACAAATTACTCGCAAAATAAAAGAATTCTCTCAGGAAATTTTCTCTAATTATTTTTCTAGATTTAAATCATCCAAATAGCTGACTTAATTATTAATCTAGATTGCAACAATCATAATAATTATCATTTATGAGGATAATTTGAAATCAAAATAATTTCCATAACGATTATTTGTCTTGATGTTAATTATCCAAAATTAATTAATTCAATATTAATCTAGATTTTTAATAAAAATCATAATAATTATTAATTAATTTCTTAGGATGATTTAAAATCAAAATAATCTCATAATAACTATCATACTAGTCGCTGAACACATAATAGCTATTATGCTCATGCAATCATACAAGTTATGTAACAATATGGCACCACCTATTCTATATGGCATGTTATCGCAATAAAGCATGTTATCAATCATATAATTTATACCAATCAATAAAAGCATTAAATAATAAATCATAATTACTTTAATCCACGGCCTTCCTATTTTAAAGAAAATTAAATTAAATTAAATTAAATAATACAACTTTGGAATTCGACTTTCGCCTAGCCCATAGTATCTGTCTCAAGCCGCTTTAGGGTTTCATGGGCCCAAAAGCCTAAAGACCCAATCCTTTGGCGAGAAACCCTAGGACGCGAAAGAGGAACCCTAGCCGTCAGGTCTGTCGCGCCGTCACCCGAAGTCAAATCAGGCTGAAACTCCAGGGAAGGACCACCACGTAGATCCGAGTGCACCGCCGTCGGAACCACCCAAAAAGGTGGCCGGACGCTCCCTCACTCTCCCATTCTTTGTTGGAGAGTGGCGGCCACTCTCAGAATCTTGTGGAGGCGCGTGGAGGAGCGTGTAAACTCATATGGCGGTGAGCCACCCACCGTTGCGTTCGTCTTTCCGTCCTCTTTCCAACCATATATAGATCGCCCCATTCCGAGATCGGTAATTCCTCGAAAATTCTCCGACAGAGCTGACTGCGCATCTTCCTCGCGATTTCTCGATCTTGAACTTTTACAAAATATTGAAAAATACACAAAAATTCCGAAAAATTAAAAAAAAAATAGCAAGGAGGAAACCTAATCATATGAGATTACCCTCCTTGTTACAAATCGAGAAATACACGAGAGACCCTAACTATGGATTAAAGCATTTTTACCGATTAAAATTTAAACTTTTATGAAAATGAATTATCAAAAACACATGCTAGATTCATACCATAATCCTAGAACCCTAGGTGCCACATTTCAAGAAGCAAAACTAATTACATGAATAGTGAAACTAGATTCACATACCAATGTACAGCCAAGGCTCTGATACCAATTGTAGGAAATCTTAGATTTATGCGGAAGCGGTTTAGGACCTAGTACATTGGTATGCTTACCGAATCATCCTTGTTTCACAATTACCTCTCGGTGCGCAGGTGTCGTGTAGAATCTTCCCTTGTAGGATTCCTCTTCACGAACAGCTCACCTCAGCGCCGCAGCACGAACAACCTCCTTGAAGCTGGACTGTGGCAGATCTTCCAGACTATCTCTCGAGGAGGATGAGATGGTTGTGTGGGCAACCGTTCAGATGATGAACGTCTGCCTCTTGGGGTTTGTTTCTGATGATCTATTCACCTTGGAGGCACAAGAGGAGAAAACTATGAATATATACGCTTAGGTCTTAGACATAACTCAACCCTAAGCCTCATGGGCTCAAGTTTCGCTGAAGCCCAATAGGACTTTAGTGACCAAAAGAGCATATATCCAACAACATCAACATATATTAAATGTAGCTTTGTCATTTTTTTTCAAGCCAAACTATCTAAAATACTTGGTGTTATTCAATTATTCATGTTGTCCATATCATCAATCGATTATGCACACATGTCCTTAAAATCAAGACACCACATGAACTCGTGTACAAAGAGCCTCCATCCTTTATGCACCTTAACCCATTTGGGTGTCTGGCCTATGTATCCACATCAGATGCACGGACACGTTCATTTTTTAAAAACATGTGTGTCAAACATCGACACGTGATTAACATTTTGGGACACGCGGTCAGCGCTCTGACACGTTCCGACACATTTTTTCGACACGCAATCAACTGTTTTCGACACACAGTCAACGTTACGACACATATCTGACACGTTTTTTTATTAACTAAACATGAAAAAATAATTTATAAATCAAATTTTCTCTGTTATGAAATTTGACATGAAAAATTAGTAACGTACGAAAAATTATTTTTGTTTATATTTATATTATAAAATTTGAACATTGAATTGGTTATATGACTTACTATGAGCTGTTATATGTATTAATATAAATTATATTATATATATTAAAAATATTATGTAATATCAAAACGTGTCCCAATATATCAAAATATGACTTTTTTAGAATTAACGCGTCAACGTATCGTGTCTATATCCTGTGTCAACGTCGATGTAACACATGTGCCCACACTACATCCTACCAAATTTGAATCCAGAATTAGAAAAGCCATATTCCTTGGATACAAAAGTGGTACCAAAGGATACACCTTATTTGATATCAGATCTCACATCTCACATTCTGTGGCATTTTCACATCTAGATGCAAACTATGAGTTACCCAACACTAAAGTTTATATAAGTAAAAGAAAAATATAAATTAAAAATAATGTTAAAAAATTATATGAAATTCTATTATAAAAATTATTTTTTCTATTTATATCATATCATAGTACTATTTGGTTCACTTTAAATATCAAATATGATATTTTTTTTATCAAACTTTTTTTTTTTTGGTAAACTTATCAAACTTTTATCAACTTTTATCTAGTGCTCATCAAACATGAGAAATGATATTACAACATATAAGCATTTATAGGTTGAATTTAATTCGTTTTAAACTCGATATTTTCTTTTTAATTAAAAATTAAATGATAAAAACTACAAATAATTATGTAATAGACTAATAGTATATAAAATATAAGTATTTGTAGACTGAATCTAATATAATCTAAACTCAATATTTTCTTTTTAATTAAAAAATAAATGGTATAAACTACAAATAGTTAAGTTATGTGATAATAAAAAAGGGTTTAATTCATATTGTAGGACGCACGAGTATCATTTTTTAATTAAAAAATAAAGTCAAAATATTATTTTTTAAATCAAATAAAATTAAATGTATAAATGATTTCTAATTAAATCACGTCAAAGTCAAGTATAATTTTAAAAAATGTCACTTAAAATTAGGTTTTGATGAATAGTGTTTTGTGGGTATATGAGTTTGAGTTTGATGGAAGCTTTGTCCATTTGTAAAAGTTGTTGAAAACGATAATTAAACGGTAAAAATGAAGTTAGTTTGTCATTTGGTTTAGTTTCAATATTTAGGGAAAATTATGCTTGAAATTAAGGATTTTCTTGCATTTTTGGCCTTGGTTGGTTGTATGTTGATGGTGTCCCTTGTACTGATAGGATTGAGGCAAGAGAACCAAGTGGAGTGACCAACCCATGTGGTTATGTTCAATTGAGGAAAAGAGAGCTTTGAGGAAAGTTCAAGAGCAAGGTAAACCTTTGGACCTTGGGTTAATCCCCTTGAATGTTCCACCATACTCTGTTGAGGAGGAATTGTTTATGAGGTGTGATATGTAATGATGATAGTGATTGTATGCTCATGCATTGATAAATGTTATGATTGATTAATGATTATCAATTGATATTTGATTGTTTAAGAGTAATTAAGGAATAGTTGATAGATGTAAAAATAATGAATGAGGTAATGGTTGAGGATTATGATTGAGGTTATGATTGATAGATTTATGATGAGGATGATTGATAGGAACTTCCCTTGGAAACAGCCCTATGTGGATCTTCATGTGGTAAGAGCCTAAGAGAAACAACCCTATGTGGATCTCTCTTGGAGGTTCCTAGATTGAGGATAGGGACTTCTCTTGGAAACAACTCTATGTGGATCTTCATGTGGTAAGAGCCTAAGAGAAACAGTCCGTCGTGGATCTCTCTTGGAAGTCCATATGATGTTAAAGGATAAGAATATGACGTTAAGCTTGGTTTATTTTATTCCGCAACGTCATATGGTTATGATCACGCAATTGAGTATTTTAAATTCAGCTTTGTTCAAAAAGAAAATTTTATCCAGGTTTCTAATTGAAGCACTTAATATCATAAAGCAATATTAACGTTCCAGGTGTACAACAGGCGTTACAATATCCTAAATTCAATAGTGATTAATATGATAGTAGATTAATAGTAGGAAGTGGTAAGAATATTTCCTTCTACAAGAATTAACCGCGAAAATAATTAATTACCTTAAAAAAATGGAATGGCTCAAACAAAATAGAAAAGAACACGAATAAGGAAGAAATGCACGATAAGATAGGACAATCTATTATATCTCCAAACCCTAAATCCGTACACAGTCCTCTTTAACGGTAATCTTCCACTTTGATTTTCACCGGTTTCCTCTGCTTCAACAACGTTAACGGCACGCTCCGCTTGGAAACCCACCGCATTCACCACCGTATCAAATCAATGCCGTTATTATCAGTTATTCACTAGCTATTTTCATTTTGCTGCATAAACCCTAACACAGTTAGTTGCTAACAATGTCAATTTCAATGTCAATGTCAAGAATAAGGTATGGCCTTTCATTCCTAAGGTTTCCTTCAAGACTATACTCTCATTCTCATTCTCATTCTCATTCTCCATTAATTGACAAACCTGATGATGATGATGATGATTCTGTTTCCATATTCAATCGCATGCTCATTATGCGTCCTACCCCACCCATCATCGAATTTAACAAGATTTTGGGATCCCTTGTTAAGATGGAGCATTTCCCCACTGCTATTTCACTTTCTAAACGATTGGAATTCAAGGGAATCACCCCAAGTTTTGTAACTTTGAACATCTTGATCAATTGTTACTGCCACATGTGTCAAATGACTCTTGCTTTTTCTGTATTCGGTAGCATTTTCAAGAAGGGTTATCATCCAGATACCATAACCTTGAACACACTTATGAAAGGTCTCTGTCTTAAGGGTGAAGTTAAGAAAGCACTGAACTTTCATGACAAGGTTGTGGCTCAAGGATTTCATTTGAACCAAGTTAGTTATGGGATCTTGATCAATGGGTTATGTAAAATAGGAGAAACAAGAGCGGCCATGCAGTTGTTGAGAAAGATTGACGGACAAGTAATTCGGCCTAATGTGGTAATGTACAGCACAATCATTGATAGTTTATGCAAAGATAAACTTCTAACTGATGCATTTGATTTATATTCTGAAATGGTTGTCAAGAGAATTTCTCCTAATGTTGTCACTTACAATACTTTAATATATGGCTTTTGCATTCTGGGTCAACTGAAAGAAGCGATTGCTTTGTTTAATGAAATGCAATTGAAAAACATCAACCCAAATGCTCGTACCTATAACATATTTGTTGACGCATTGTGCAAGGAAGGAAAGGTCAAGGAAGCTAAAAATGTGGTAGCTGTCATGATAAAAGAAGGTATAGAACCTGATGTTGTTACTTATAGTACATTGATGGATGGGTATTTCTTAGTTAATGAAGTGAACAATGCAAAATATGTGTTCAATGCTATGGTCCCAATGGGAGTGACTCCAAATGTTCAGAGCTATAATATCATGGTCAGTGGATTATGTAAGAGTGGAATGGTCAATGAAGCCATGAATCTCTTTAAAGAAATGCATTGCAAAAATATGATTCCTGATACAGTAACATACAGCTCTCTTATTGATGGTTTGTGCAAATCAGGGAGAATCTCTTTTGTTTGGGATCTTATTGATGAGATGCATGATAGAGGTCAACCACCTGATATAATCACTTACAGTTCCTTATTACACTCTTTGTGCAAAAACCATCATCTAGACAAGGCAATTGCATTATTCACGAGAATTAGAAACGACGGAATTCTGCCAAATATGTACACATACAATATACTTATTGATGGACTATGCAAAGGTGGAAGACTTGAGAATGCACAAGAGGTTTTTCAGGATCTTCTAATTAAAGGCTATCTCCTAGATGTCCGGACATATAATGTTATGATCAATGGTCTTTGTAAAGCGGGCTTGTTTGATGAAGCATTGGCCTTGCTGACAAAAATGGAAGACAATGGTTGTATGCCTGATGCTGTAACTTTTGAAGTAATTATTTGTGCTTTCTTTCAAAAAGATGAGAATGATAAGGCGGAGAAACTTCTTCGTGAAATGATTGCTAGAGGGCTATTGTAAGAGTAAAACTAGGTGAGATGCTTTTTATTTACATTTTAAATTGTTTTTTAATTTTGATTATGACCAATCAATCTTTATTTGTTGATATGTGAGTTGATGATTTTGTGTTCATTTGATTATCATCTCGTCTGAGCTTTGCCATTTGAAAAGAATGAATAGAATAGATAGAAGGAGTGGGAACATTTTCTAAGAAACTTATGACCATTTATTGGAATATGTTATAGTATTAAGTTGTTTGTGGTTACATTTATATGATGTTATTTTGCAGACATTTTGTTCCCTTTCTTGTGCACGATATTACGTTGTTAGAAAGTGCTCTGGCAGAAAATATTTTTTACCCTGTTTTCTTTCTCTTAAAATTTTGGATTCTAAACTGTTTATTCTCAAGTAGGTGGAGCAGGTTATGGAGCGGGAATTGTTCCTTTTGACGATCAAATGGGAATCCAAGGCCAAATAATCTTTACCTTCTGTTTTTCGTAATTTGATATTATTTCTCAGGCTCGCACAGCGCTCAGTTGGGGTGGAATGCTGCTGTGTCCATGCTACTTGTCTATGAAGCATTGTTTGTCATCTGCTTCAAGATTCTCAAGGCTTACTAGCTGTTGCTTGCCGAAACTCTTAAGGGGTTTACAACATTGAGACTAAAGCAATTGATAATTGTTGATCAGTGGCTACAGAAGATAGTGATTTAATAGCACGTCCTCATTAGAATATGAATCAGATGTGAACATTAATTATTTTTTAGACTGCTGGGCAAGTCATGCTTTAATTTGTTACTCTCTGTTCTTATTGTTGTATTTATATTCTTTCCATACAGTTTGGATTCTGGATTCTTTTGATACAAGCTTCTAGTGGTGGAGTTATTTTTGGTTGAGATTCTTAGGTTAGATTGACTGAGTCATGTGAAAAGTTGGTGTCAGCTGTTTTTATTTTTATTTATTTTATTTTTTGCTCCAAGCTAGCCAGGATCCTCTTCACATCTTCTTGATTTCCCTTTTTCATCGTAGATTTTTTGGCTCTGATATCTTGAGTTCATAGCAGTATTATTTATCGTCTCTTTATATTTTCTAGTAAATTAATTTATGATCATTCTTTTGGTCTTTTTTTTTTAATGGAGTTTAACTTGCCATGCTATTAAAATCTGTGTTCTTTCTAAATATCAGTTTTTGCCGATGATTCTTGTACAAGTTGAAGTTTTGATTCCTGAGAAGCAACTTATGGTTTAATTATATGTGTTTTGCATGTCGTCATGAATGTGGCTTCTTTAAAAGTGTTGCATGGGATTTTAGTCAATGCGTTATCTTGTTTCACAGTGGTCTTGACCGGTTCATGCAACAGTTTGCACATCTTGGCGAGTACTATGGAAAGGTGAATGAAGCCCTCCATTGTTGATACAACATGTGGATCCAGACATGCAGAATTGCAAACTTGGTTAACCTGGTCAAATACATGTGGATTTGCAGAATTGCACACTGTACAACAGCAAATGTAAGTGAAGTAGTGCTTCCCCTTCCTCCCTTTTTTTGTCCTTTTCTCTTCGCAAATCATATTTTGCAGTTATTGATTTTATTTATTTACGATGTTAAGATATAATTGTAAGATATGATTGTAAGAGGTTGTAAAAAAAAAAATGTTACAAATATAACCTTCCTCTAATTTATAAACTCTAAAAATCAAGTAATTCACATGGTCAAAAAATTGAGAAAAAGAAGTATACTTAGTTTATAAAAAAAGAAGGACAAAGCCACCCCTTTTCTGGGTAGAATTGTTATCCAAAATAATATTAATACAAGTAATTGTGAATTTTATTTCACTTTTTCCATAGAGGAGTTTCTACTCTCAAGGATGAAAATAATCAAACAATGATTTTTAAAAACCAACAGGATCAATTGTTCAGAGTTCTCGTTCAGAGTTCTCCTGGGCTTGACGTGACAGATTTTGGAAACTTAGATGCACAAAATCAACCCTCCAAGTCGAACTACAGCACACAAATCTTGTTGAAGAATGGCAGCATTAATAATTAAAAATGTATCGATGTGAAACCAAGTAAAGATCCATGGGTAGTTAACTCTCCTTTTAAGTGTTGTCCTTGTGTTAATAGAATGATACTAGCTGGATTTACCAAAAAAAAGAAAAAGAATGATACTAGCTGGAATTTGTAATCATTAGAATATCAAATAATTAGTTATGATTTCCATGTTCTACCAAATTAGATCATTGTGTTATTGAAATTTTCCTCCTCCATCTAATGTATCTTGGTATTCTGAATTGTGTATACAATGAACCTTACAACTCAGTCCTTTTATATTATTAATGAGATGCTGGAGCCTAAGTGTCCCTTGTGGTTTTCAATATTATTTCGGAATTGAGGACATCAAGTTAACTAGACCGTAATGGAGATTTGTGTTGTTCTTCTCTTCGTGTCTCTTCTACAATGGGAATGCCATCTATAATTTCATTCTTAATAAATTTCAAATGCTAGATGATAATTTTGACAAACTTAATTAGGAAATGTACATGCACTAGTGCTTTATTTTTACCATTATTTTAAGTATTTTTTTTTTGGCTAACACTTTTTCGTAATAATATAGTGGTTTATTCTTAGTAACCCATAAAAAGTATATAAAATTCTTAAGTTCACAAGATTTATCATAATTATTTCATTTAATTTTAAATTTGTGTAAGATTATTTTTGTTAGGTTAAAAATGCAAATGTATCTATCATTGAAAAATATTTCTACACATGTTAAGTGTTGATTAGAATACCGTTATTAAGTATTGCAGATTTATTTGACAGATTTATTGCGAATTAATTTTGGGTTAGCGGGTTGATACGCGACAATATATGAATTTTTTTGGGTCAAGATTTGCCAACCAGAGCTCAACATGAATTTGAAAACGAGTTAATCCAAATACGAATTTTTCATATTGTGTCAGTGAATTATGTTGAAAGTATCGAAAATTGCTAAACCTAAAACCAACATTCTATTTTTTTTTAATTTCCTCTTCTTCTTTTACTCAAAGCCTATATCTCCACATTCTTTTACATGGTTAGTGACCTTTTTGTTTTTCTGATAAGCAAAGAAAGAAACAAGCGAGCGAGCATTGGAAATTTTGATCCTAGAAATGGGCAAGCAAACAACCTATTGAAAAAAAAGAAAAAAGAAAAAAAAGAAATGGCCAAGCAACGGCTTTTTGTATCTGTCCAGTGCAATGACCTTTTGAAATTATTTAAAATGGTAAAACTAAAAATTTAAAGTAAATTTTTTAAATGGTGTAACTTATAAAAGTCGAGATTTCAAATCACAACTCACGTTTTCTTTCAAACACAAATTCGTATTTCCAAATGCAAATTATATACTATTTTTTTTTAATATATTTTGTTGAAGTCCTACCTCTTATGTACGGCTTTTTTTAATATATTTTCTTTCAAACAGTGATATGTTTATTACCGTTTTTCTCCTGTAATAGACTTCATCTGATTAATCCAAGTATTATTGTCTTTAATATCAACGCTGATGGCACTAAGCTTGAAAAAATCAACAATTATGTAAAGGGTTTCAATTCAGAAACATATAGTCTATGGCTAGGGGGTAATAAACGAACCAGAGGTCTTTGGCTCGGCTGGTAAAGGCATGTGCTTACATGCCTAAAATTAGTTGTTAGAACTAGACTTGAACTTGTATAAAAGCTCGTTTAATAAAAAGGCTTCAGACTTCAATTCAAAAGTTCGGTCCTAGAACCTCTCAAGTTGGCCTAGTATATTATTTTTTTTATTTTTTATACTACTTGTAATAACTTTCTCTCTCCTTAATCCATTTCATCTCATTTTATTGATAAACAGACTTTTTGAATGATTTTGTTCGATATTATACTGTTTGGATATACATTGAATTTATGAATATTTATGGAATTACTAGTGCTTTGATTGTACATTCTGTTTAGATAAATTTTTGTTGTCTTATTTTTTTTTTAAAACAGGCTAAATCAAGCTTTCATTTTTTGTAAATAAGCCAGGCCACAGGGCGATAATTATATTCATGACAGGTAACAGGCTTGATCAGGCTGATACATTTAAACACAGACTTAACTTTTTAAGACCAAAATTTGGTTCGGCCCGGTCCGTTAACATGCCACCATTTCATACTCTTAAGATGAATCCAAGGTTTCTTTGAACAAATTACATATATATGATGTACAAACAAAATAATATCCTGCTTCCTATTATCACTATGCTTTCTTTTACAACCACAAAAAAACTAAACACAAGGACTTCATGCCTCATTTGCTGTGTGTCAATAATGGATCATATTTGTGAACTCACTCTGAATTTGTTTCCCCTTACTAAAAAAATGACTTAAAACCATTAATAACATACCAGAGACCCTTACAAATATTACCAATTTGGTTCACATAACTATATAGACTTTTAACTTTACCCATTACCATTTACATTTTGACTAGCTCTTGAATGCTCATTGGTGTACATATTGATCTATCACTCACACATCGAGATGCTATGATTGAATATACTGCTTCAGTAAGATGAAAAGCATCCCAAAAGACATGCTCGTTTGGGTCTCGGCATGGTTTTGACAATGGGATACATGCTGAAGTCCCATTTGCCCAAGTGGTGCAACATGGATTGCCTCCATCAGTTAGACCTGCAAAATATACACAAATACATAAGCATGATTACGAGAGATTGAATAAAAAATAAATAAATTAATAAGTTACTTCATAAGGGAAGGTTATATTTACAAACTTTTTTGTTTACAAACGCTTACAAACTACACTAAGTAAGTATGACCGGTCATATTTCAATAAAGAGTGTATGACCGGTCATACTTAGTGTAATTTGTAAAAAAAGTTTGTAAACGGATCATTACCCTACTTCATATTAATATTTGTCTTTTGGGATTTTTACCATATTTGGATGGATTTTTGATAGCATCATAGCCTAGTGTGTTGGCATGACCATGAACAAAGATGGAGCCTGGAAGACTAAATGTCAGATTTTTTAGCATTGCAGGGAGCCTCTCATTGAAGTATGATACAATTTGGTTTGTTTCTTCCATGCAGTCACCAGGGTGTGCATGTTTCCTTGTGATTGATGGCATGCACCCTATTGGTCCAAGGTCAAACATTATTACCTTCCTGGCTCCCAACTTGTACAATCTCTGCCATAGTTAAATTTTCATAAAAAAAAAAATTGTGTTAGAAATCAATCATGTGACTTCACTAAATTGTTTAATATTTTAGATTTTTTTATATAATGACCCAAATTATCCCTTTAAGATAAGTCGGATTTTCTATGTATCCTCACGATTCAGGCGGGAAAAAAAGATCCACACAGATATGTGACTAATCTAGAGTTCGAGAGGCATGCCAATTATCTAACTTTGCCTTCAAACTCGAACCCACCCCTATTCTTTTTTGTAGTTTGTCCATTCTCAAACTCATATTATCATTTAAGCCAACCCTAGGGGTTAATAGCTTAACTTTTCGGGTAGTGATAAAGTCACACATGAAATGAGATCCTTGGAGAAAATCAATATCCCATGTCAATGTTCGTAATAAAATTTAGGAGATGAGATTTAGTGTTACCTCAAATTCCTGGGCAAGCCTTTCAATGAGGAGTTGAGCAAAGGGCTGAGGCTTATAGCGCTTGCTTGTATCATAAGTCTTGGTGTCAAGGTAATTATTAATGTAGTCATTGCTCCCTATAGTGATTATGTATATAGATTTTGATAAGTGCTCAGATAACTTAGTTGGGTTTCTGAGCTTCTTGGGCAAATCCTTCTCTGCTGTCCTCTGAAGTAAGTTAATCTGGTCCCTTAAATTCAGGCATTTTCCCTGCAAAATCAAGAGCATTTCTGTGAAGTTAATCAATCATCTTTCTCCTTTTCCTTATTTCGTTTGATGAAATGTTCACATATAACTAGCAAAAATTAATAAGTATGCAATATAAAAATATGTATTATATTCAATATGTATTTTGTAGAAATTAAAGGAACAGAGAATCATGTTTGAAAGCAACCCAAATCAATAATTCAGTCTGGTTGATTCTAAAGAGTGTCCAAGATTTATTAAGTATAATTTTCACATGTATATTTAATTTATTCACAATTATCATTCATGTAATTATTAAATATTTCTATTTAATCTAATCTAATCTATATACTTTATTTTTTTTATAGCCAATCTATATATTTTAAATTCTGGATGAAGTGTGCAACGTTATTAAAATAAGTTAAAATGAATATCTTTAACCTAGAAAACAAAAATATATGCATAATAAATATATTTTAACAGAGTGGGTATTTAAAAAAATAAAAATTACTTTAGAATAACCTTTTAAGAGAGTAAGGAATATGTCCCACATCATTTTTACAAATAATTTATTAGGTAAGCAAAGGTAAAGAAAATATTTTAGAATGCATTTTTTTTTTATTATCTAAAAGAAATATATGTAAAAATGATATAAGGTTTTTTATGTGTAAATATCATCACTCTCCTATAATCGAGCGGAGTTACTGGGCTCCGGGAGCAAAAAAAATTAGGTGAAAATGAGGTGAGAGAAAGAAAAAAAAAGGTTGAGGAGAGAGGAGAAAAAAAATTTGATCCAAATATCAATTTTTGAGTGGCAGGATCATTGTGGTCCTGGACCATATTAAAACATTCCTCCAGAATTGTTGTTCAATCAACCTATATGCACACCTTTGATTCTTCTTTTACTCATTTCTTCTTTATATTGTAATCTTCTTTAATATAGAAAATAGGATTACAAATATTCTTGTTCAGCATGCTAGTAGGATCAGCATTACAAGTCCAACTTCCCTAATGTAACCTGGTGAAATGTTCTTTTTGCACATGTTAATAACTTTTACTTTGTTGAATTCTCAAACAAAATAAACATAGAACAAGGGGAAAAAAATAAAAAATAAATAAAAAGATGAACAGAGATATAGCTGCATATGGGAGAGAGGAAAAATAAACAAGATTGAACTGTGTATATATATATATATATATATATATATATATATATATATATATATATATATATATATATACTTACAAGTATGCTTCCAGTCTCTGGCAGAATTCCACATGACCCAGATGCATAATTGAGCCCAGTTACCGACCTTGGACCCCCAAAACTCGTGTATGGTGGAGAATATGGCAATCCAAGATATTCAGCTGATCATCAAAAAAGAAAAAAGAAAAAAAAATTATCTATCAATCATAAGATAATCAAAAAATAAAAAATAAAAATGCAAACAGAAATGGGATAGGTAAAAGAAAAATAATTATTTTTCAATAAATAATAATCAATATTCAAAATTCAACAATTTACAAATGAAATTGTAAATATCTTTTCTTAATGTGTCAAATAATCTTAAAAGTTAATCAAAATATGCCTATAAAAAAAAAAATTTAAATATAATTAATTATAAATAAATCAACATTAAACACACCTAAAATAATGAAAACAAGTAAAATTAAATCAACATAATAATTAAAAGATTAAAAAAAGAAATCAAATCACTTTTAAAATCTTAGTTTTCTCATGTAAGTCATTCTAAGTGCATCAGTGTTTAATACATGTTTTGATGCAAAAAAATTTCTATCAAGTTCTTAACACAATTTTGTACTGACAACTTGAAATTATTGGTTAATTAAGCTAAAAAATATATATATGTCAATTGATCATATGTGTTCGGTTATCTAATTATATAAATTTTAATTTCATAAATGAAACATGTTACAACAACTCCAACCATTATGCTAAGTTTCCTCTTCTACCAAGTAATGGTATATACGGAAAAAAATAAAAAATAAAAAATCACCTATAAAATCGGCAACATTTCTTCCATTAGTGAATCTTCCTGTGGAACCTTGAGCAAAATCAGAACCATAGGGCAAGTAATTTGCTTTTGCAAAAGTTGGAAGCAAATTGTTATTACCACTGTCAAACAAGGAGTCCCCGAACACATATAATGCAGGTGCAAGGGGCAGGGAGCATATTGGGGACAAAATTTGAAGTAAAACAAACGAGAAAACGATAATCATATTTGCCATTCTCATTTTTCTAGTTCCTCCTACCACTGTAGACACAGCTAATAAACAGTAGAGGGTAAATTAGAAAGACGAGAAAAGGTACATGGTATCTTTCTCTACGTTTGTTTTAGGGAGAAACCTCAAAAGGAGAGTATCATGCATATATATATATATATATGAAGGTTATTAGTAGGAGGGTGGTTACAAAAGAGGTGCATACGGCACATAATGCGGGCTTTATGACTTATACATATGTACTTGTTGTTAAGGCAGAGGGTTTGTTAACATGTTTTTGTGCATAAAACATAATCATGTTTTTGTGGATCAATTCAAGCGAGTTTAGTGTACATCATTGTCCAAAAAATGCTCAGGTGAAAGCATGCTGCATGCCAATTGCCATGGCCTACATGAGATGGCACGGGAAAGCCAAGTTGGCTAGCTGAGTTTGCAAGGTTAACTCACGATTATTTTGTGGTATATATATATATATATATATATATATATATATATAGGGGCAGGTTATATTTACAAACTGTTTTGTTTACAAACTCTTACAAACTACACTATGTAGGACCGGTCCTACATTAATCACACAGTGTACGACCGGTCCTACATTAGTGTAATTGCAAAAAAAGTTTATAAACGGATCCTGTCCCATATATATATATATATATAAGGTTTAACGTTTCTCCAGGATGATTAATTATGGACTCTTTGACACCATCAATCTTAATTATTGAATTTAGTTGCATATAATAATTTACCTAACTAAATAAATTAGAGACGTTAGATACAATTAATTCAATAATTAATATTAAGAGTAAGACTTATTATTAAGTTGATGTTCCATTACATGTATTAGAGTTCTTTTGTACTTCACACACTAGGATTGGTTTAATGGTGATGGATTTAGATAGGTTGTATTAGGTTATGTGTTCAATTCTTACTTGTATATATATATATATATATATATATATATATATATATATAATAATCTTTTGTAATTTTAATACAAGAGATATCCAAAGATATTAAACGTTTCGTTTGCTGTAATTAATAGATGAGATGACACAAGAAAGTCAAGTTGGCTAGCTGAGTTGCAAGTTTAACTCACGATTTCTTTGTAGTGCGCGTGTGTTCTTTAAAGCAAGGTTAGATACCCGGAATTTTTTGTGCGTTTAATACAAGAGATGTCCAAACACATTAAACTTTTATTGTAATTAATTGAAACGTAAGTCAAAAAGAATGGACAGTGAAAAGGAAGATGAAGAAATGGAAGAATGCTTGCAATCTTTTATATGTGATCCTCACCGGCCATCAATAACATATACAGCTTATACACGTACATGTATATATAAAGTTTTTATTGATTGTACAGTAACTATTCTTGACATCTATCAATGGGTTTTACAAATATAATATTACATGATATTTCTTGTGGAATGTCATAGACATTAAATATCGTGGTCCCATTATATGGGAAAATAGTAAACAAATTTAGAGTGAGTCTCACACCTTTTTAAATGTGTAGAAAAAAGAAGTTCAATCATTTATTTAACATGATACTTCTATTTCCCTCTATCAAAACAGGGGTTATGTTCTGTGCTCATTAAATTTCCTATACTTTACGCTTTTATATTTAGAAAAATAAAGACAAATAAAATATTGAAATTTATAGTTTTCTTAAGTTATTTTATTAAAAAATAAAAGTTAAATAAAATAATATACAAATAACACTGTTAAGGGGTATATTGGATTAGGATTTTAAAACACTATTTTAAAATAAAAATATCTTATAGATTTTAAAAGACAATTTACAATTGTAATAACTTTAAAGACTTTTTTGTAAGATTTTTTTTACAATAAAAATTTTATAAGATTGAATTTTAAAAGATTTTAGTAGAATTTATAAGATTTTAAAAAATCATATGAAGTTTTAACAAACATTTAAAATTACAAGAGTCAATAAAAAAAAACAAAATATTAATAAAAAAAGTAAAACATAATATAATTTTCTCAATTAATGTAACTTGATGTCCTACTTAATTAGCAGCAGCTCTCCATATATCTATCCTAGCCTTCCATGCATTAACATCTTCTCTTCCTGGTGCAGGGTTTTGATCAATTGGTTGAAAATTATTTTTCATTTGGTATCAGAGCTCCACAATTTTTTTATTTATTAAAATAATTCAAAATTTGCATATAGATCCTAAAGTTCATGACAAAATTTTGTTTGAAATTTTTTGTCATTGGTCTTAGAAACTTTGGAATTTTTGTTCTACGTGATTAGATCTTTTCTAACTATATATTATATGCATATTTTTATTAAGCATTCTAAGAAAATTTCGAATCTGAATTTATGGATTTTATTACATTAAATTATAGAAAATTTTCTAAATTATTTTCAATCGATATATTGAAACCTTAAATTGCTGTAGGGCTTTTAAAAAATAAGTTTTTAGTGATCTATTGAAACAAAAATTGTTTGAAATCGTTTCCTATGGTGAAGAAATTTCGTTCTTGAATGTATTGTTACGAAAAATATGATTCTTAGTATGAAAGTTTCAATCTTTCTTTAAATCGATCTCGTTTCATTGATGTAAAACGAAAATTAGTTTGGGCATATTTGTTCTCCTATTATTTTTTCACTATTTTATGTTATTTTTAATTAAAAAACCACACTATTTTTAGCCAAGAAAAATCGCGAACCATTGAAAAATATTTTAAACTTTCAAAAACTCTCAAAAATCGCTCAAAAATTTATTTATTTTTAGATGAATTAGATTAGAATCTTGTTGGGTTGTTGTTTTTGGGTTATTTTGTGATAAAAATCGCTTAAAAATCAGCTATTTTTTAGCTTTGATGAAGCTTCCATGACGAAACCCGATTTTGAACGAGTTGACCTGCCAAAGGAAAAAAAAGCAATGCAATAGAAAAATCTCAAGAAATATAAGTTTATAAGAAAAAAAATTTGTCATTATAACGCTCCCCATCTTTTATATATGTGATCCTGACTAGCCACCAATAACATATACAGCTTATACATATATCATATATGTATAGATAAAGTTTTTATTGATTGTATATAAACTATTCTTGACATATCTAGAAAGAGTATATTTAGGGGGAAAAAGAAAAATTATTGTAATTTATATTTTCTTATTTTATTTTATTGAAAAAAAAATAAAATAATGTGCAAATAACACCGTGAAGAGACTTATAACAAAATCAATAATTACAAGTTTTAACAAATATTGGAAATAGATACTTTCAATTTTATTTAACATAATCAGATTATGTAAGAGAATCCTAACCTTACAAGATCAACGATGATAATTTTGTAATTGCTATCACAATATTTTTTTTCTCTCTTCCTTTATTATCATTAATTTATCTTTATATGATTATGATTTTTCTACCTAACATTGTCACGAGGATCCACTCCCAGAAATATTCTATTTTATTTTTAGAGGAAAATATTTATCCTTTTAAAGGATATAATGTTGTGTCATTTTAGACATAACCGTTGATTTTCGTCAATCAACGATTATAATTTATTGGGTCAAATTTATTATTAATTAATTAAATAAGTTTGACTAAATAAATTATAACCGTTGATTGACTGAAATTAATGGTTAAGATCTAAAATGATACAATGTTATATCTTTTAAAAGGATAAATATTTTTTTGTTATTTTTAAGTGTTTACACTATCTTGTAATTAAAATATTTTTTTAGATATTAATTGATGTCCAAGTCCAAATGAACCTAACTAATTCATCAATGATGAAACCATATCTTTTAGTTTCCCATAATATTTTTAATGGAATCTACACTATAATATCTAATAATATCTTTAATCAAATCCTTAAAATCTTTCTTTTTATATTTAAAGGAAACAATTTCATTAAAAATATTAAAGAAAATCTTCAATAAAACCGTCAATCAATTATATGATTCAGAAATACAAAACAAATTCACTTGAGCTTTTCAATTTATCTTTTTATTGAGCTAAAAATTACTACAAAATATAAGAATTTTTACAAAAACATTACTGAAAATAAAATAACATTTAAATTATAATTCTCATAACTTTTAATTATTTTTAAATTAATTTTATGCTTATATTAACTCTTAATATATAATAAATTGAACTCTCGTATCCATGTCATGTGGTCCAAAATTATAGGTGATGGTGTATTGACTGTCAAGTCCGCTTTCAAGTGTATTAATCAAAATGAGTCCCACGAAACACAATTCCTGTTATTAATTCTCCTAATGATAATGATAATCGATGGCAGGCTGTATGGAATTGGAATTAGACACCCATTATTTCTCCTCCAGGTATTTACATACCCATCTCCAGGGTGTGAGGATAGAGTAGCTTGTGATTTTAGGGGCATTGCACTGCCCATACTTTGTTATAGTTAGTTGAAATTCCATTCTTGTTTCCAAAATAAAAAAGGAAAGTATGAGAAGGAAAACTTACAATGTTACATCGAATGTGCTTTCCGTTTGCAATAATGAAAATGCAAAATAAACACATCTTAATTTAGAAAAAACGAAATTTCTTTCTTAGGTGGCAACATTTCTTCTTCTTCTTTTACTTAAATTTTAATTTATTTGTTAGAGAGATAATAAAGAGGACAAGAAAATTGAGTTTATATTTAAAGTCAATTCGACACACAATACCCCACATGTACTTTTAAAATGACATAAACTGGTAAATTTTTTTTTTAAATATTACTTTTTTTAATAAATAATTATCAATAAGTTGCTATTTTGAATTAATTACGAATATACTGCATTCATTCACGTTCAAATTGGACGTGACCATTCACGTCTAAGTTAAGCGTGACTCACAAGGCATTTATGCCTAACTTAGGCGTCACTCGTCTGGTGTTAACACGTGGCACAAAAAGTTAACGGTTTAACTGTAAAACTTCAAAATACCATAACTTTTGACTCTGGTATCCGAATCAGTTAATATTTTTTGATTCCACATAACTTTTCGAGATCTACGCAATAACATCTCATTTGACATATTTTATCTCTCACAAACACAGTTCAAATTTGCAATAATGGTACTATACGAGCATTTAAAGATAGCACCAAAGTGGATTAGTCTATCTATCAATACGGATACTTAATATCATATTAAAATATATACTTTCTACCAAGTGTTTGAAAAAATAATAATGTACAAGGTTATTGAATCGCAATACGTATCGTGTATTGTTTGGTCAATTTTTCGTATGGTGAATCATATCGAATCGTAACATGCAAAAATATAATAAAAAATAATTTAAAAATATATAATTTTTTTATGACTTTTATCGAACAGTATCGTAAGTTACATCCTTCTGTTTTATGACTTTTTTTTCTTTAAAGCCATTTAAACTATGTATGCCTAAGAGAAAGAAAAAATAAATACATTTAAAAGAAAAATAAAGAAGGGACTAATTGGTATAAGTAAAGAAAACTAAACATGAAATAGAATAAAAAAATTTGATTTAGAATGGTTTTCAAAAACAAAATAAATTATTTAATTAAATTATAGCCTCTGAATAATTTTCAAAAATAAATTATTTTCTCCTTAGAGATTTATAATATTTATTTAATTATTTCCTTTATTAATACAGATTTTTCAAATTGATTTTGATTTAAAATCATAAATCAAATCTTTATTTTGTTTTCTTTATTAATAATAATTTTTTAGATTTTTTTAATTTAAATCATAAATCAAATCTTTATTTATTTTTTATATTAAAAATTAAAATTTTTATTTTTTAATTTAAATCACAAACCAAATCTTTATTTTTTTTAATATTAAATCACAAACTCAGAACTCTGAGGCTTATGGGTTTAAATGCTCTTATAATACCATTACTGCAAACTTGAACTATATTTGTTAGAGATAAAATATGTCAAATGAGATATCATTGCGTAGATCTTGAAAAGTTTTGTGGAATCAAAAAAAATTACTTGATTTGGATAACTGAGTCAAAAGTTATGACTTTTCAAAGTTTTACGATTTGTAAGTTGACTTTTTTGTGTCACGTGTCAATACTAGACGAGTCACGCCTAAATTAGGCGTGAATGCCTTGTGAGTCACGCCTAACTTAGGCATGATTGTTCACGCCTAATTTGGGCACGAATTAGTGCAATAGATCTGTAAGTACTTTTAAAACAGCTATATATTCGTAATTATTTATTAAAATAATAATATTTTAATTTTTTTTACCGACATAAACTCATAAAAAATTTCAATACTAATACATAACAATATATATGAATTAATGAACCTAGCTTATTCTATTTTAGTTATATTGTTAACAAACAAATAAATCAAAGAATTAAACAAACATGTAATATATGAAATTAATGTTCTTATATTGTAAGAGATAATTTTATCTTCTACATATATATATAAGTGTGTGGAATCCATGTGAAAATTAAGAAGAGAGAAAAAAAAGTATGGGCCTTACACACTTTTAAGTATGTGTACGAGATAAAATTATTTTTTATAACATAAGAAATAGTAATCCCAATATATAAATAGTAAATCTAATAAGATCAAATCTTAACTACATAAATTACCTAATCTTATTATACACATGGTTGCCACCATCGTAGTTAAAATCGGGATTTTACCTAAATTTGGAAGGAGAATAAAATCGTAAAACATAAAATCCTAACATAAAAAATCGTAAAAATGTAAAAACATTTTGATTTAAAAAAATCATAAAATCTTAAAAGCTTAGATTTAGATCGAGATTTTAACTAGAATACCACATTTTGCAAACACCACATAGTTACAATATCCAAAAAATCTTAAACCATAAAAACAGCCGAGAATTACTTTTATTTAATGGGAAAAGTATTTTTGTCACTGTAGCAGAAATATTTTATCTGCCACAATATATTTTTTATCAGGATTTGTATGCCGATCATGATATTAAAAAAATAAAAACTAGGATTCACATATACATTCTAGTAAATATATATCATTGGCAGAGAAATCTTTTTCCCGATCAGATGAACCCTTATTTAATATACACATTCTGTGAGCTCAATTATTGTAAATCCCATACCCTTTTTTCTAAGTTTTTAAAACCTTAAAACCCACTCTCACTTCAATTCAACCACACTTGTAAGTTACTGCCTTGTACCCCACCAACTCCACACAATATATCTCCTTTTTATTTTCCATTCATTCAGTTCCAATAAGCACCCAATTCAGACTTAGTCCATCTTTTGAAATTATCTTTGATTGTCTCAAATTACATACCATGCCATTGACTCTGTACCCAAAAGACACCTAGAAGAAGCTCAAGTAACGACAAGAGGGTCAAATTCAGAATCATGGTTCACAATTCACACACCCAAAAGAATAAAGAACTGATTTTTCCATTATGTGGTTGTTCTTCTGCTGATTAGGTATGTGGGTTTCTCATGGAAGCTCTCCTTGTGTTTTTGCTGCTTTCGTTTCAAAAGATCAATGAGTGCTTCTGATCTTTTTGTTTTTTTGTTTTTTTTTTTTTTTGCTTTTTTGGATTTGTCTTGGTGGGTTATTGAGTTTTGTGGATGATGGGTTTGTTTAGGGGAGAGTTTTGTTACTGAATTGTGTGTTTTTTTTTCAATGTTTTGAACTTTTAAGAGAGCAGTGGAAAGTGGCCATCAATTTGATAGGTTAATGTTTGATAAATAGTACTGAATGATGAACTATTGATTGATATCGATGGTTTTTGTGAATAGCACACTACTTTCCAAACCCTGCCGTGATTACTGTTATGTGAATCATAAATTGGAAAAATGGATATATTTTGACTACATGTTCTATTAATTTTGCCAATTTCTTCAGGGAAACTAGTAATATGACGCAGTTCTTTTTGTATCCCTAAAATTATGAAAAAAAAAGCAATTAGTCATTATTGTCAGAATTAAGGTGTCCCTCTTATGTTCTTTACTCATGTCTCACCTTTAGTTTAGATATTTAAAGAGAGCATTAAATCTTTCAATATTGATATTTGGTATGGATTTTTGCTGAGATTCCAGTTTTAGCTTTTTTGCGGTTGTGTAACACACTTTCATCCATGAGTTTAACTTCTAAAATTTGCAATTTATGTTGCATTTAAAGCATTGATTTAATAATCCTTTATCAAAAGATAGGCATTTGTATACAAGAATGCCTCTCCCCTTAAAAAAGTACTAGATTAAAAAATAAAATAAAATTGAATCACTTTCTATCTTGAAGTTCAGTTTATGTCAGTTATATCTGGATGAAGTATTGAATTAACATAAAATTGTGACAACTTTGTGACATTGAGCCTCTGCAGTACTAATCTTCTGCAAGATGATTTCATTGCTTGAATATCAAGAAAGATCAAAGAATGGTTCGTCAAGCTGATTTAGTTATCATTGGTGTCTCTGTTGGTGTAGCCCTTGGGATTCTGATATCTTGCCTCATATTTTTCGGCATAAGGTGGTACAGGAAACGTGCTCATCTTAGACGATCTGCAAATGAACGTAGTCTAACAACCCTTCCAATACGAACAAATGGATTGGGAACAAGCTCTGACTTTAGTGCATCTCTCACTAGTTCCATAGCCACTTCAAGGTCAGAAAACCTACAGAAATATTCCCATTTCTCTTGGTGGAACCATCAAAGAAAAGATCAGTTTGCTTCAGCATCAGGCATTCTAAAGTACTCATATAAGTATGTACATTTCTCTCTTGAGCATGAGGTTTACTCTTTTTTTTCAAATTGTTCTGTTTATGGATAACTGCTATTAAATGACAAACATATAACTATTGATATTGAAATGTGTTGATTATTTGATTTGTGGAATTGGGAAGTTTATATAGTCCTTTCATAAGGAAGTTTCTTTATAAGTCAGATAATCCAAAAACACTCCCCGTTAAACTCGACTAGCGAGTGTGGGGTGAAGGTAATCCTTGTACGCAGCCTTACCCTTGCATAATTGCAAAGAGGCTGTTTCCTGGATTCGAACCCATGACCTTTCAGTCATGAAGGAACAGCTTGACCACTGCTCCAGTTTTATAAGTCATGGGTTTGAATCCAAGAAACAACATCTTCGCAATTATGCAAGGGTAAGGCTGCATACAAGGATTGCCTCCACCCTATACTCGCTAGTCGGGTTTAACGGGGAGTGGTTTTTATAAGTCAGATAATCACCTTGCAAAATTTTTTTTACATTGCACATTAGTTCAGAAGACAAGAGAAAAGAAGAGAGTAGGACATGCAATTACAGATAAAAAAACCATTAGAGGAGGAACATTGACATTTTTAATGGTATATCTGACACATTATATGGAGCAGAGAAATTCAAAAGGCTACGCAAAATTTCACAACTACCTTGGGACAAGGATCATTTGGCACAGTTTATAAAGCCACAATGCTTACGGGAGAGGTGGTAGCTGTGAAGGTTCTTGCACCCAATTCCAAACAAGGGGAGAAAGAATTCCAAACAGAGGTATAGGCAAATAACTATTTTGATACTTGGTTTATAGGATGCAAATTTTTTGTTTTTTTGTAAACTTTACATAGATTTATATTGTACTGGAAAAAAATTCCATAGTTATCTCATACTTTTCTTTCCTAGGAATCTTTTATTTCCTTTCTTTTGATTGAGAGACTCATAAACAGATTAAATTTTAAAGGCATTAAACCATTACAAAATTCATGTTTAGACCTTAATCAAGGTGATAAAGTCAAACAGAAACCATGCTGGAAATGATTATCCATTTTTGCTTTAATTACCGTATATATTGAATATTGCAGTGTGTTCCTCCTTTATTACTTTGGCAGCTGAGCATTCTGAGCATTAATGGTTCAAAGCTTAATGTTTGAATAACCACCCCAATGAATGCAACTACCTTCATTTAAAGAAGAAGATTTTGGAATCAAAAATGAAAACTTTTTCCCCATCTATAAAATGAGTAGAAATATAAAGTTAGAAGTTTTTTTTTTTGTTTTAAGACAACTAGCTTGTTTTAGGATTCCTTTACGTAGAAGTTTGACTGTCCATACCTCTTCAGAGAAGAACTTTGTATTCCATCCTTATTAGGGTGAAGAACATCATGTAATCCTCTAGTGTTTACTAGGGAAGAACTCTTGTAATTTTACTATTCATATATTAGAGAAATTTGAGTGTGCATACCTCTTTAGTGGAGAACTTTGTATTCCATCCTTGTGAGGGTGAAGAACATCACATAATCCTCTAGTGTTTACTAGGGAAGAACTCTTGTAATCCTACTATTCATATAGTGGAAGATTTTCTGGTCTACGTCGCGTGGTTTTTACCTTTTTACCTTAGAAAGGGTTTTCCACATTAAAAATTGTTGTGTTTTTCTCTTTTCTTTTCATCTTCGTTTCTATATAATTGGGCCGGCCTGTCAATAGGTCAACCTCCAAGTGCCGAGTTGCTTAACTCCACTTGACGTATTTACCATTGCTTCCACGATATATAAGAGGGACCTCATCCCAACATTGAAGAGTGTATCGATCATAGTAACTCGGAAATTCAGTCCATACATTGACGGTGTAGTGTGCCAGTTACTTCAAACTATGTTCGAACATCACCATTATGAATGGCCTATAATTATTGCTCTGTAGTTGCATTTTCTAATATTGTCATCATCATTGGACACAATGGTGATTGACAATGTTTTCCTTTATTTTTCAAGACAAAATATATTAGAATTTAATTTGGGCAGGGAAGATTACTTGGACTAGCTTCTATTTTACTGGTATCATTAGTTCTAATTTGAGCAACTCAAAGGACTATGCTGTAAATCTAACATCAGTCACCAGCAAAGCTTGTTGAACTTCGTGTGCTCTTAACAAGATTTTGCTCCAGGTGCTTCTGCTAGGAAGACTGCATCATCGGAATCTTGTGAATTTGGTAGGATATTGTGTAGATAAAGGACAGCGCGTACTGGTTTATCAGTTCATGAGTAACGGAAGTTTAGCAAATCTTTTATATGGTGAGAAGAAGATCTTTGCTGTTCATCATAAGAATTTTTTATATTTTATTTTAATATGCAGGTGTATGTCAGGAGTTGCATAATTATGTGATTCTGTCATCAAATAGACAGGCAGATCTTACTTTCTTTGCATGTTTTTAGTATTCACACAATCATTATAGCTTTTCTTTCTTATTTTTCCTTTTTTATTATCCAATTTAAGTTGTCTCAATTGAGATTAGTCTTTGAATGCTTCTAGGTGAAGAAAGGGAATTGAGTTGGGAAGAAAGGCTGCAAATTGCTATTGATATTTCACACGGAATAGAATACCTTCATGAAGGAGTATGTATATTCAATGATACATATACTTTTATATTATGTGAAAATGTATTTGGTTAATATGAATTTGCATGGAACAGGCAGTCCCACCCGTCATACATCGCGATTTGAAGTCTGCCAACATATTGCTAGATCACTCAATGACAGCTAAGGTAATATTGTTTGTACAGGTTCTTTTTTATATTCTTATTGCCAATTTGTTTTCCTGAATTTGCTGAAGATATTAAATCAAACAAAGTAATCCTTTTTCAAAAGAACTAATTTTTAAGATTTTGTCAATGACAAATCTTTCAAATAGTTACTAAATACAGAAAAAAAATTACTGTGTGTTTGCATGTAATGTTGATTATATTCTTTTACCATGCTCCTGATACATTCCCCTGCTCTCCATTTCTTCCTTTTCAATTGACACAGAAATAAATGGAGATAAATAATAATTTGGTGTTTGATTCATTAATGAGCCTCTGGGGGTCGATTAGTCCTATTTAGGTTGCAGATTTCTGTCTTGTACACTCCTAGACTCGCAGCAGGTTCTTCATTATTTTCTTTTGCTATAGGTTTATATAAAATGACTTTCTAACATGTCATGCCTACTACATTTTAGAGTTATCTTGAGGGAGAAAAATTCATCTATAAATCAAAATTTGTCAGTTTGAACTTAACGTTTTCATAACAGCAACTGAGTTACAATGAAACAAAATTTGTTGTCTAACCTTGAGAATTGGTATATATTTGACATTTATGGCATTAATTATCTTCTTTTATTCACATACCAATTATCCTCGAAATTTTCTGTGTAGGTTGCTGATTTTGGGCTTTCAAAGGAAGAGATCTTTGATGGCAGGAACTCTGGTCTTAAAGGTACTTATGGTTACATGGATCCAGCATACATTTCCACAAGCAAGTTGACAGTGAAGAGTGACATATACAGTTTTGGTATCATAATTTTCGAGCTCATCACTTCCATCCACCCACATCAAAATTTGATGGAATATATTAACCTTGTAAGTTATTTTTCCTTTGGAAAAGTGCTTCTTCATCTTGAATTATGATACAATGTTGTTATGCATTCTTTTTTATTTGCTTATTTGTCTTTTACTGCAAGGCTGCAATGGATTATGATGGTATAGATGGAATACTTGACAAGCAACTTGTGGGAAAATGCAACCTTGAAGAAGTGAGGCAGCTTGCTAAAATTGCACACAAATGCTTGCACAAATCACCCAGGAAACGCCCCTCTATAGGTGAGATTTCACAGAATTTGTCAAGGATAAAGCAAAGGCGTCAGCGTCGTCTGACAGAAGATACCTTGTCATTTGCAAGCAATAACTTTTCCAGAGCTGTGAGTCGATTTGAAGAACAACAGGTTGAATTAAGTAGGATAGCCACCAGGAACCTCACTGAAAATGTATGAACACCATTGTAGTACATTGTGGGGGTCAAGTTTACAGCTAATCTAATGAAACAACTACTAGTTTACCACAAAAAGTAATGTATTACTGCAAAATATGGAAATAGATATCCAAATTCTAGGAAAATGTAGTTCTTTTTATGGCAGTTTTAGCTCATGGAGTGGAAGGCAAATTCACTATTTGACCTGTGACAATTCTGATGCCACAAAAAAACATGGTGGATTCCTGCATGTTAATTTGAAACAAGACAGACTATACCAGATCACCCTCGTTATTATAATTCAATCTTAACTTTCATATTGCACACCAAATGGACAAAATCTTTATTCAGAAAATACCCACCATTATTCTGTTAACTTACAAGTATTTCATTTCCTTGGAATAACTCAGTTGATAAAGCTGTAAGATATGCAGGAAGAGTGCGCAAAATTCAAACTTTGTAAAACACTTTGCCTATCCTTACCTTGAACTAAAATAAGAAATTAAAAAGTACTTCAACTACTAATAAAAAATTAGGAATTCCATCACAAAAATCAGCTTGATCAAGTCCAAATTATCTTCCCTTAATTTCTGATACGTGAACAGCTCTTTCATTTGTTCAATACAATTGAAAAATCTGCATACATCAATACATCATACCATATATATGTGGGTAGAAAACTGTTATTTTGGTTCTTCATGCACATTTTAGAGGGGGAGGTATATGAAGTTGACTAAATTTAAAGGAAAAGTCACCATTAACCAGTAGATAGACAGTTATGTCAAAAAATCTAATGATAAGAAATGAATCAGAAAAATGTTTGACCTTCCAAACCGTGTCATACAAACATAAGAATGATAGTGCACTGTCTACCAAAAAAGAAGAAAGAATGACAGTGCACTGAAATAATTACCCAATCCTTGGCTGTGCAGAATCTGATTACATACAATGTCACTGCAGCTGCAGAAAATTAACATACAATAAGCTGTTTATGTGTGTGCACCAACAAAAAAAAAAAAAAACACACTTTAAAAATCCAAAAATAACATTGGCACGCATGATGCAGCACAACTCTTGGCTACTCATATAATAAAGATCTGTATCATTATTGAACTGCACGGAGTTCATAGATGTATCTCATGCAGGGTAAAGTATGTTAGTCTAGAGATGCTCTCAACAGCCATGGTATGGACCAAGGCTCTGTTGAAGCTTCTCATGTATGGTGCATAAAAGGGGAGTGGTGTGAAATGGCTATGGTGGCTCCACAAATATGCAAAGTAATAGCTCTTAAGATGAATAGATAAGAAGATGCCCCTTCCATGGGAGAAGGGGTTATTTAGAGAGAGAAAATCTCTCTCAAGCGTGGGAGAGAGAACCCTCATAGTTGTACACCTCGCCAAACCTAGTTTGTGAGTCTAGGCATGTTGTACCCACTGTCACGGTACAGGAGCAATGGTGCAAGGGAGAGAGAAATGGGATCCTAAGTGATAAGGCTCAACGGCTCATCCTAAGTGCATGGTAAAGTATGTTAGTCTAGGGATTCTCTTAGCAGCCATGGTATAGACCAAGGCTCTGTTGAAGCTTTCCATGTATGGTGCATAAAAGGAGAGTGGTGTAAAATGGCTATGGTGGTTCCACATATATGTAGAGTAACAACTCAACTCTTAAGATGAATAGAGAAGAAGATGCCCCTTTCATGGGAGAATGAGGTATTTAAAGAAGGGAAGTCTCTCTCAAGCATGGGAGAGAGAACCTTCATAGTTGTGTACCTAGCCAAGCCTAGTCTGTGAGTCTAGGCATGCTGTATCCTATCAGTGTACCAGGCCACAGTACAGGGGAGAGAGAAAGGGGATCCTAAGTGATGAGGCTCTATGGCTCATCATAGGATGCCCTTTAAAAAGTTCTAGATGTAGGCATTTGATATTGGGCCCAATGAATTAGGCCTTAAAGGGCTTGCCATAACAATTATCATGTAAGTTTCACTTTTAATAGTTGGTAAAAATTTCTTATCCTTTTATTTATACAACTTAAAAGTTGAGAAAATTGTGTAAAGAACGTGTGCAAAAAGATACTATATAGAGAGGTTATTGAGTTTAAAGGAATAAACTCAAATCTTAACAAAATAAGAAAATTAATAATTAAAGAGAATTGTAATTTTATTTTATTTTTGAATAAATCATAGATATCTTCCATGAGAGATAATCCTGTTCGAGCTAGAAATATCTACATAATATGCATCAAGCTTGCTAAAGGTATAGTCTACTTGATAAATATTAGTGTTACCTTATTTTTTAGGATTTGGATTTATTTTTTAGGCTCATTAGTCTCTTTGTATATATTGTATTCATTTGTGCATTAACTTTTGAGAATCAATAATATTTTTTCAATTTTTTTCTTTCAAGTCACCACTTGGGAGCCTTTTGCTTCAGCAATAATAGCCTTTACGCCTTTATGGGGTGTTTGGTATAAGTTTTTTGGTTGAAATGCCGAGAAAGTGGGGTGAGAATTTTTTTTGCCCCATGTTTGGTATAAGTAAAAGTGAAAATAATCTCAAGATACTGTTTTCCCCATCATTTTATTTTTAACTACACATTCCCATGATATTATTTTTTTTCCACCGACTGGGAAACGCGTAACAACATTTTGAGACGAAAATGCTCTAGTAAAATGAACGTTTGATGACTGACAAGAGATTCAATATTCAAAATGATAGGTAATTTTGTCATTTTAGTTCATATTTTCATCAATATTTAACAATCAATCAAACATAGCACCAGTAAAATTTATCCAACATTCCCAAAAAATTTGGCCGACTTAACACTTTTTTGTAACTTACTTGGAAAAAAAAAATTCCACTATATTTTCAAAAAAAATTTGTCCTGATTAAAAAAATATCTCATGCCCCGTTAATGCATCCAAGTTACTAGGGGTGCTAAACAAACTAGGACCTTTGGCTTGGCTCGTGAAGGCCTGAGCTTACATGTCTAAAATTGGTTATTGGTATCAAGCTTGAACTTGTATAAAAGCTCGTTTAATAAAAAGGCCTCAGGCTCCAATTCAAAAGTTCGGCCTTAGAGCCTCTCAGGCTGGCCTAGTATATTATTATTTTATATTTTATATTTTATATTTTTTATACTACTTGTAATAGCTTTCCCTTTCTCCTCAATCCATTTCACCTCATTTTATTGGTTAAACAAAATTTTAGAATGCTTTTGTTCTATATTATGTTGTTTGGATATACCTTGAATTTATGAATATTTATGGAATTACTCGTGTTGTTGATTGTATATTCTATTTGGATATATTTTTATTGTCTTATTTTTTTTAAACAGGCTAACAGACTAAACCAGACTTTTATTTTATTTTTTTGTAAATAAGCCAGGTTACAGGCCGATAATTATATTTATAACAGGTAACATGCTTGATCAGTCTGACACATTTAAACATAGATTTAACTTTTTAAGATCAAAGCTCAGCTCGACTCGGTTCAACCCGTTATCACTCCTACAAGTTACCGCCTGTAACGGGAATCCTCTTGCATAGTGCAAATTCAAATGGAATTCAAACACAAATTACAAAGATATAACTAAGATTAAATAAAAATTAAAAAAGACTAAAAATCCAAAAATGATATTCGCACACACCATGTAGCACAAGTCTAGGTGACTCGTATTGTTATGGCCATCCATTTGGCTGAGTTACTTGATAAATATCTGTGTCGTTATCATGTAAATTACACTTTTAATGATTAATGTCAAAGAATAATATAAATCGTTAAAAGGGCCTTCACCTAATACAATATAAAAAATTACTTCAACTCAAAATTTTAAGGTGTTGGGTAAGAGCCTTTCTAATGATTTATATTATTCTCTAACATACCCCTCATGTAAGAATAATGGTTGCTCTTAGAAAATAATATAAACCGTTAAAAAGACTCTCGTCTAATACAATATAAAGAACCACTTCAACCCAAAACCTTAAGGTGTTGGATAGGAGTCTTTTTAATGATTTATAATATTCTCTATCATACCCTTCATGTAAGAGCCTTTTGGGCCTGAAGCATGGATATTGCACAAGCTCAAATTTATTTTATTTTTTTGCTTATGCTTATTACACCGGCCCAATTTTTGGTTTACCTTGTGCTTATTTAAATTCCACTTGAAAGTGGAGGGCAGTGATGATCGAATTCATGACCTTATAGTTACTGAAGCTCTGATAACATGTAAAGAATCAATTCAATTCAATCCAAAACTTTAAGGTGTTGGATGCTATGTAGCACTGATACGACACGCGACACGTGACACGACACGACACGTCAATCCTAAAAAATTATGGATTTCGACACGTTGGGACACGTTTTAATATTAAATAATATTTTTAATTTATATAGTGTATATTTCATTTAATATTTAATAATTTAACAAAAAAATGAAACTAAATTAATAATACCCATCAACACGTTATAAAGATGGAAGCTTTAATAAAAACAATAAGAACTGGGATGAGAGAGATAAATATCAGATAGAGAGATCAAATCATATTAGAGAAAGATCAGAGAGAAGAAGATACAACAAGAGCGTGATAGGAATTGACAACTATGATGCTGAGATGATCTCTTATCTACTTAAGGGAAAAAAAGACAAAAAGATAAAATTGATATGATCAGGTGGAAGCTTTATTAATATATTTTAACTTTAAAAAAAATTAAAAAAAAATTACGAAAATGTCATTTGACCGTGTCGGACACGGTCAAATTCGCGTGTCGGAATGGTCAACGTGTCTGAAAAAGTCAACCGCGTGTCCGACACCGTGTCGGAGCGTGTCGCCGTGTCAGAGCGTTTCGGACCCGACTTTTCCTGTTTTTACCAGTGTCCGTGCTTCCTTGGTTGGATGAGGGTCTTTTTTTTTTTTTTTGGTAACAAGGATGAGGGTCTTTTTAATTATATATATTATTCTCTAAAACACTCCCTCACACAAGAGCTTTTGGGGCTTAAAGCGTAGATATTGCATAGGCCCTATTTTTTTTTGTTTTACTTTGTGCTTATTTAATTCCGCTTGCAAGTTTGGGTGGGGTGGGGTGGGGTGGGGGGGGAGAGGATCAAACTTGTGACCTTATGATCATTGAAGCTCTGACACCATGTAAAGAATCAGAGTCATTTTAATGGTTTATATTATTCTCTAACATTTAGTGTTGTTAGGGGTGGCAAAATGGGTCGGCCCGCCCC